AAAGTATAAATGTATTGTTTCATTAATCTTTGTACAGTTCAAGAATAAAACACATTTCCTTGTATGGTTCAAATGTTTCATTATTAAATGCTTTCAAGCAATGAAATTTGGTTTACAAATCGATCCAGTTTCAAAAATATTAACAAGAAATAAACTACAATTCCATATTATCCTTCTTTACCCTTATTTGGCATTTTCTGAGAACTTATTTTAGATAAAAGTTAATTAGTAAATAATTATAGATAAACTGACAATAGAATTGCTCGAATATAACTCGGCCTTTTATTTTACACAAATTGCACGTCGAACATAGTTTTTTGATATTAAATCTTCTTCAATCAAAACCAGACATGTCATGTGCATTCAAACAAAATCATTCATATTTATGTGTTTTTTTTTAATTAATATAAATTTTCCATGATGGCGATCCTATCATTTTAAGCAGTCGATTCTTAAGTTATTCACGTAAAAACAAAATAAAAGCGTAATCTATGTGGGAGAGGGGACGGTATTTCAGTATTACGTAGGCGCTGTCGTTAGAAACCACTAGATCAAGAAGGGAGTTTCTCTTATTTCGGATGAAAAACACTTAATGCACACTTTGAGCTAATTGCTAATATTTAATTTTGTTTTATTTTTGCGCCGAGAAATAGACACCAACACGACGTGAACGAATAAATATTTACCCATCACGCGAATGTGCAATTATGCGAGCGCGAAGACCTACCTATTATTAAAGTTCAGAAAATGCTAAAACTTGTTATGTAACACCAATAATTTTGCTCGTTACCCATTACATAAATCTGTTGAAATGTGTAACATTCACTTCGATGGAGAATCTGAGGTCATTATTTACATATTACTATTTCTACAAAGCAATCCTTGATTTGTTAGTGTTTTCAAATTGGAGCGACTAATACGGATTAAAATTCTTAATATCATTTTTCTCGTTAAAAATATTTTGCATTGTTCAGTTTTATAACATAACGTATGGGTTCAACAGTCGCTGTATCGACTCAATTTAGGCACCTCTGAAAAAACTAGAGAGCCATGACTTGGCCAATTAAAATAAACAAGCGGGGCATTTTCTAGAGCAAGTAATTAAATTGGCTTCATAATTTTTTATTCTATGAATTTTGTAATATTGATATATTTTATCTCTTGCAAAATTGCGACAATAATACAAAAATTGACTTCAATAGGCGAAACTTTGATTAAAACTGTTCTTAAACATTTATCTAGCTATAGATCAGATATATGTATTTTAAAAATGGTCAATTTAGTTTCACAAAGCGTTACTTTAATTTCAACAAATAAATTTAATTTTGGAGTCAATTAATAGGACCCCAGAATTTGTAAGTTTCATTGCAGAGCAATAATAATAATCACAGACTAACAAAATTTAACTTTTTTTGGAAGCAGAAACTTGAATATATATTTCCAAAAGATTTAGGTGTGCTGAATCCGAATCTGGCAGCAAAATTGCTCTACCACGTCAGGTTTTAGAAATATCCTAACCTAACAGTGCAAAAAACACTGTTTTTCGTCATATTTGAGGTTATGTAGTAATGCCATCTATTCTTGTTCAAAAAACTAATACATTGAATCTAAAAGTACAAGGTTCCCTCTTTCAAATGCCGTTGAGTTTCCTCAAATACCTTTTTTTTTCGTTGAGATATTACATGTTGAAATTTTTAAGTTTCTCAGTTTCTTAATATGCGAAAATCTACTAAGGATCCCTTAGACATCAAGCAGTCGATTGCAATTCAGAAACTTCATACCCATACGGTTTGTGGGTTTGGAGTTGGTGGGCTTGGGGTTTGTAAGCTTGGAGTTTGTAGGTTCGAGTTTTGTGGGATTGGGGTTTGTGGGTTTAGGGATTGTGGGTTTGGAGTTTGTGGATTTGGAGTTTGAATTCGTATGTATTGAAGGTTTCTGAGTGTGAAGTTTCTGAACTGCAATCAACTGGTTGGCGTGTAAGGGATCCTTAGTAGATTTTCGCATATTAATAAACTGATAAACTTAGAAACTACTAAACGGCATTAGAAAGAGGGAGCCTTGTACTTTTAACTTATATATATTTTTTTAAGAATAGATGGCATTACTACATAACTTCAAATATGACGAAAAACAGTGTTCTTTGCACTTTTAGGTTAGGATATCCCAAAAACCTGACGCGATAGAGCAATTCTGCGGCCAGATTCGGATTCAGCGCACCAAAATCCTTTGTTAATGCATATTAGTGTGTCTGCTTCTTGACCCTTGTTGGCCTGTGTAATATTTCAGAGAAAGTAAAACAGTGGGACAACAACTCATAACTCATTAACGCTCAAAATGCCACGGGCACCATTGCAAGCTCTTTCACAAAATTTGAGAAAAAAAGTCATTCGGACCACAAAGACGGACTTTCATGTTGAAAAATACCGCAATTTTTTCCTATATTCAATTTTTATACCGTATCGATAAGACCAAAGGATATAGATAAATTATCTCAAGGATCCATAATGTGCGCATCATTGGATGAACCAAAATGGCAGGTTAACTGGAAAATGATGGTATCAGATTTTTAATAGGGCGAAAAATGGGGGTTGTTCAGAAAATCTCAAAGGGTGATGAAATTCTAGGAAACAACATTGTGACCCTTACTATTTACGATTCTGAATATTTTCTTTACCATCACATTCGCTCCTTTGCCCGAAATTAGTAAATTCTTATTATTTCCGATTGTGTTAATGAGGAGTTATCTTTCAAAATGCAGTATTTAATCAAAACCAGTTGTTAAGCAAATTGTGAATGTTTGCGTTAAAGTTATCCATCTTACTAATTTATTTTTGTAGGTTCCGATATGTAGCCTTGGATGTGTAATCAATCATGCACGAAAATTGGAAAATCGGATTTGTAATACTTTTATATAACAGTCAAAACAAAAAAAAACTGCGTTTTGAATGTTATTTATCATAAAACTGCATTTTGAAAGAAATTATGAAAACAACTGCAAGATGAAACATTTGAATACTATTTTATTTTGTAAACCGCCTCGTTTAGGAAAGCTGAAACTTAAATTGAACAACACAACAAAAACTTTAAAATATCTATAGAAAAACAATATTCTGTTACAAAAAATATTAACAATTTTTTGTTCGCAATCGCAACTTTCATCATTTTCTTCATCTTCTTCTACCTCGTTTTCTTAATTTGTGTCATCGCCATTGTTAGTTTTATCAATCAGGTCTTTATATACCACTTCAACTTTTCGACAGTCCTCCAGTTTATTTTTTCGTTTGTGGTTATGTCTTTTTTTGAATATGCTTTGTCCAATAGACCGTCAATGTCTTTTAACTTTCTTGACTTGGCCACTCTAGCCAGTTCGATTGGTTTCAATGCGATTTTCGCAAAAGATTTTCCTTTTTTCAGCAATGCTATAGGGTGTGAAGTATTATTTCTGTAAAAATTTTCCAATCTTAACGTTATGACAACTGCTTTATTTCTAATAAATTTTTTAATATAAATTCGCTTTGCCTCTCTTATGCCAGTGATCTTCTTCAAGGAACTTCTTACCTTATTTATTTTTCCTTCTATCTTTTTTGTTGCTTTTTTGTCCTTTGGCGTACACCTGAATTTCCAGCCCGAACTTCAATTTCATCCTCATTCATTTTAGTCAATTAAATCAATTAAACTAAATCAAACACCGTCTCAAACATAAAAACAGTTAATTACGACGGCTCCCTTGTTCGTATCTGCAATGACATGGTTAAAACTACGTTTTGAAAGTAACACGTAAAAACTGCATTCTGAAAGTTACAAGACTGCACAAACGCTGCGTTTTGAAAGAAAACTATTCAAGTTCAGATATTTATGGCAAACGTTCAAATTTGAATAAAACGCTATGGCACATTGAATTCAGACGCCTTTGAAGCATGTAATGCCATCTTTAGGATAATAACGGAAAATAATTCAAATACTGCGGTTTGAAAGATAACTCCTCGTTTATAAATAAAATAAATATATCCGTCATTTTCGAATTTTGTAAATTTGTTGACCAAATTTTGGACAGTATTCAAAAGATAAAAGTGATAAAAGTATCAGCATCAAAAGAGGAAGGTTTGTTTCTGACACTATCAATATGATCAAAATAGGCCAAGTCGTAAATTTGAAAAATTTTGGGAAAATTCCAATGTATTCTTTGACCAACTTTTTTATGTTTTGAGATTTTCCGTCGTGAAATCTGATACCACCATTTTCCGAATCAGCCGCTAGTTTGGCTCATCAAGTGACTAAATTGATGAGTAGTTCATGGATCCTTTAAATTGAGAGATTTTAAAGTTTACTATGTAGAACATAAAATTATTATTAATAGTCTTTTTTTGAAAAAAAGTCAGTAATTAAAAAAGTAAAATTTAAAATAAATATACCCTATTTTTTAATAGGAAACCTATTGAGATACGCTGAATTTACCCCGGATTTTACGACAAAGAACTCTTAAACTCTTAACATTTTATATGAAAAACGAACAAGAGTTAAATATTTATGCATCCTTTGAGACGTTATGTCATCAGCATTGAAATATCTTCATAATTTTGTTGCTACCATTCATATATTCATAATAAATGTGTATAACCAAATGTGTACGTTTTAAAATTTAATTTCGTACGGTTATAAGTTCAATTAACTACATTTCTTTAACATTTGTAACAAACGTGCATGAAATATACTAAATGACTTGGTTTTTGCCATATTTATCTTTATTCGGGATATCACTCTTGTAAAAGTACCATTTCACTATTCGTATAACCGTCAAATTTCACTAGAATACTCCACAATTCATTAAAAATACTAAACTAAACTGCACTTAAATGAAAAACACGGTCCGTGAAAATAACAAATCGGCATATACGTCAACTCGACGGCGGTATAATTTAAATTTAGTAAAATTTAATTTAATTTATATGGATACATTTATGATGCACCTTATATAAAAAAGACAAATAGAAAAAACTTACCACTTGTGCTCTGGTTATCCAAAGTATTGAACCTAGAATCCGGCGTTTCCGGTGAATCCGGACTGGGCGGGTGGTCAGACCCAATCCCGGAACTACCCCCACTACTCTCCAACCTCCTCCCCTTGACGTTTTGACCTACAATGTTGGCGTTGAGGCACCTCCTCAGTTCGATCCCGGTGAGGTTGCCCTTCGTCCTATGTACAGTGTCGTAATCCCTTGGGGGCAGCAGGATGGGAGAGTTCTTTTTCCCCAATTTCTCCCTGAGTTCTGCCGCCACTGAGTCGTACAGCGTCGTCACTCGTGTGCTTTCCACCGCGAACCTAAAAAAGAAAGGCAAAAATGTAAAACAAATCATCGACATTCACCAATTCATTTTGATTTATTGTACACAGGAGCAAAATAGAAATAGTGTGATTAACTTAGAGATCTCAAAATAAGCAGGACTTTTTAAAAATAAGAACAGCAAAGTCCTTTTGGGAAAACCGATTTATTTTATTCAAAATAGTCTCCTTCCGACTCAATACAGCGACATTGTACGATTTAAAGGCATGTCGAAAGAGTGTTTTAGATCGTCGGTAGGGATTTCCTTCGGGATGTCGGTACAAACCTTTTAGGCGGCTTCTACGTCCACAAAATGCTTTCCTTTCATCGGCAAATGCATTTTTCCGAGTGGTTGACAGTTAAACTGCGATTTTTAGTTACAAAATGGGTTACAAGTGTCGATCGATGAGATAGAGCATCATTTTACAACAAAAACGCCAACCTCCTCCTGCGAGATATTCTGGCCGAACTAATATCAGCTCTTTGTTTGATGCCCATTTTTGTACCGATGACACAATAATTACTTACACCATAAAGGAGGTAAGTATTATTTACCAGTCGAGGACGATTTTGCGCCCGAGCGGAGCGAGGGCTGGCAATAGAGTCTGAGACTGGTAAATTATACTTAACTGCTGCGTGATGTATAACATTTTATCTGCTCTCACAGTTCTTTATGGTTCATGAAATAAATATTAGGTTATATTTTTTGACATTTCTTAATCAATTCATTTTGACATTAATCGAAATCTTTCAAAGTTTTCTTGGTTGTTTGGATTTTGTCGTTTCTAAGGTGTTTATAAACAAACTTACATAAAAGTTGCAATATAGCTGGTTTTGAATTATTATTTCTAAATGAGTGATTTTCAAATAGAAATGCAGTAAATGCTGCCTGCAAACTTTTATTGACCGAGAAGTCGAAAGTGCGCTACGGATGAGCATATAGAAATTTCAACGAATGGTGTCAGAACAAGAATACTGGTGTTTCTGAAATGTCACTGCTAGCATATTTCATGGAGAAGTCAAAAACTTTAAAGTCACCGGCGAATTTGTGAAGTGAAGACTCAATAACTAAGTCAACTATTTTCGTAGAGGAGAACGTGGATATATCAAAATACCTAAAAAGTGAAACGTTTTTACAAGTCAACGATTTTCTCGTTTGAACAACATCAATTTCAAAAATTTCGATGACATTGTAGTTACAATTCCAGATTCTAAAAATGGTATATCACGTACGTTTACAATTACTTCTCGTCTGGGTTCTGTTTCTCACCTAGAAATTCTCAAGAAATATATCAAGATTAGATTGAAAATTCGAGTAGGTAGATGTTACAACCAACCAGTAGCCAAGAATACCCTTTCTATGATTTCTAATCAGATGCACAGTTTTTGAAACTAGAACATCCTCAAACATATACTCATTTCGAATTCCAATTCATTCCGAAGAACATTGGCAACGTTACTGGCTAATACAGGAGTTGATGTATTAGCAATCAAGAGACATGGTGTGTGGAAATCAGCCACAATTGCAGAAAGTTGTGTTGCTGACAGTTTAAGTAACAAAAATGAAATAGCCAACATGAGTCATTACAATGATACTTCAATTCCAGATTCTAGTAGTACGTCGCATCATGCTGTTTTAATGGATCACCAGATAATATTGAGCCTCTGGTGACTGAAATGGAGCTGTCAAATCATTTTGAGAAAAATGTGACAATTAGTAAACGCGAGGAGAATAATTATCCAGATTTTATAAATGTTACTAAATATAATAATTGTAAAATTACTATAAATATAGTATAGTAGTAACTCTATAGTAGGATCATATTCGATGCAAAGTAATAAATCATTGCCTGTCAAGGGAATCAGTGCAACACATTTTAGGGGTGTTTTGAAAATTGAATAATTTCTTTATGCATTATGGATTAATAATATATATTTATGAAGAACAAAATGAAAAACAAAGGCATCTCCTTCGCACATTGGGCGGCAGGGCAACAATACATTTATTACTCCTTTCATCCTCCCTCATATAACTTGTGTCTTGTGTTTGTTGCGGGGGCGCGCGTGCCGGCCCGGCGTGGTCAGTTTCGTTTCGATTGTATTGGTGCTGCGTGTTTCTCGCACGCGATATTTGTGAGGTTATAGTAATTGTTATAAGTGCAATTATATTTCGTTCGAGCTGTACGTGTGTTTCGCGCTATTATTTGAGAATTTGTGAGTGAAATCATATTTCTTGTGCTCCGTAACAAAAGTGTTTTTAGTGGTTTATTTGTGTGTGTTTCGGGCTGTTGTTTGTGAATCGTGAATGCTATTATATTTTCTGTGCTAGTGAAGTGAAGTTTTTTGTATTATCATTGTTCTGTTGTCGTTATATGGAGAAATGGAGGCGGTACCTGGATGTTCGCAAGCCGGATATACTGCTGTGGGTACAAAAAAATCTGTATTAAGTTACAGAAAAAAAACGATTTTATTAAATGTCTATAACGCTTTAGAAAAGGATCATCCCGTGAAACTGAAGACTGGTTTGGTGGAGATGTGTTCTGGATATACTGGAGGAAGCGAATCATCTGTTTTCAAAATTTTAAGAGAGAAGAAAAATGAAGGAGACGTTAAGAAACCTAAAAAAGGGGGTGGAAAGAAGAAATTAATATTAATGAAGATGAGAAAAATGTAGTTCGGCGTACAGTACATAAATAAATCATAGAATTTATATTTTGTTTATCATTTGTTAAAATTTCTTGTTTGATAGAAAAATAACTTATTTTGTTGAGATTGACAGAGAATTGTTGCTAGTGTTTTCATTTGATAGAATCATATCATAGGATTTATATTTTGTTTTCATTCTGTAAATATTTGTAGTATATCTGTTATACAAGGTTTTTGCTTTGAAACTTCGTTCTCCTTATAAAAAAAAATCGTAATGGGGTGCGATGAAGGGATCAGTTCACGTCAGGAACCCTGTTCCTACAAAAATCCCTTTATTCTCATAAACTTTTTGTTTTAAATGTAATTTATTATAAATCCAATTCGTTATTTAAATTCCACATATGTACTACATTTCACTTCTGTACGCGCCACTGTTTATTGTTCCCTGCTCTACGATCAAGCTCGCCAGGTTAGTATTTGACGTATAACCGACCACTTCGTACACTCGATGCACCTGGCCGACTACAGCTAGTACCAAAACACAGTGCGTATGCGGCGGTATTTCAGATTTTACATTCAATTTCATTTTAAATTTGAAACGGTTCATCTTACGCCTCCTAAAAATGGTGACACGATTTTCCTTTGATAAAACGCCGACAATTTTTTGCTCCAGTTTGCATCGATTACGATCCAACTATACTATCCTATATTTGTCGAAATGTCATAAAATTTTGAAAGTATATCAGTGAAGGATCTGCTTTTCCGATGCATAAAATTGCCAATAGATAGCCTCACTGGAAATATCTATTTTTGAAAAATACTGTTTTCTGTGGAACGTACCTAATAACGCATATAAAACGCGCTGAATATGATAACTTTGTTAATTTTACTCCATCACTCACAGAATTTTTAGCATATCGCTAAAAATGGCCGAAAATCCCGGAAAATCGTAAATCGTTAAATATTCGATCACCATAATAAAAAGAGTTGACATTAAAAATACAAAAATTCGAGGACTATATACAGAGTGTCCCGTTCATGTTTCAAAAAAACTTGTGTGCAAGTTCCCCATGGGAAAATAATAGGGGTAGTTCATATTAGTTTGTCGACTTAATCCTGAAACACCCTGTATAGCTGTATAATTGAGTTGAGATTAAATTTAAAACAATAATATAACTATTATTCTCTAGATACCTATTATATAATTATTTTTTTTAATTCTGCTGAAGACAGTTACATCTAGCAAAAGATTTATACAAGCCAAACTAAATACAACTTAACCGCTGGAATTGGTCGTTACCTCTTATAATTTGCTACACTGTTATTACATCATGAAACGGCGGCTTTATATAGAAAAAAAAAACGTTGTAGCTGGTGGCTTCAAAGTACAAAAAAATTACAATTAGTCGCAAGGTGACAAACGTAATTACTGTACCTAGTAATAATAACATGGCAGCATAATTGCTCGAAGGCAAAACAGGAAAAAATGTACATAATAACTTCCCGACTTCAGATTTTATTTAAAAAAATGTTATTGTAGAAATAATGTGCTATGAAGAAGCGTTCTAATTTGAACAGTGCTAGAAAAAATTTTGAGTCAAAGAAAAAGCTCACAGGTAGTTAAATTAAGACCACTCATATCTTAATTTTATTCTTACTTTTATTCTTGTTCTGGACTTGGTATTAGTTTTGGTCATGTCTTCGGAAAACTCTTAATCACGATTGATGACTACCAGAGAATAACTGCTCTGACAATGAGCATATAACGAGCGTTCAAATAAAAACGTGGTCGAAGTTGGCTCTGACACATTGGACGTAAGGAGTAGCTTATAGCGACCAACTTAACCTCATTTCTCAACGAGCTGTATAGCAGCTGTCAGTTTCAATAACGTTAATGACTATATAACAATAAATTAAAGCAGCTGCTGAAAGTGTCCCCTCCTTGTTCCAAGCACTCTTCACACCTGTTCCTCAAAGAATTAAAGACATTTTCTAAGATGCTCGGGTATTGTTAATTTCACGAATCTTGTAATATAAGTCGAGCCTGCAGATGGTTTAAATCAGGAATAGGCAGTTCAAAAATAGTGTTTTTAAGGTAAGGCCACAAAAATAAATTAAACGGCGTAATATCACATGACCTCGGTGGAAATTCAAAAAACTTCCCTCAACATATTCATCGTCTCGCCTGCCGTATGTGCCCTTGCGCCATCTTGTTGAAAGTAAAAGTTTGTAATTTCGTTTTCTTCCAGCTGGTTAACAAAAGGAGCGATAATTTCTTCTCTATACCTTTGCGCAGTAAGAGTACCATTAAAAAAAATAGGTCCATAAATCCTCCTTCGATTGAGAGCACACC